GGGGGTACGGTGCGTCGAAGATGACGTAGATGTGAGTAAAAAATGAGAAGAGATGTTAAAAAGTTATAATTTCGGACGGACAGAGAAAGAGACATTTCTTAATTTTTCATAAAAATCATCACTTTTCAACTACTTGTATCTCCAGAACGGGTTAAACGATTTTAAATTTTTTTGCTCAAATTACTCGTGGCGATGTCGCCTTTCAGGTCATATAATACTCGATTCAAAATTTTTTATATTTTAGTAGTTATGCACCCCAGAAAAATAGACTTTGGTGGCTCGGGATAAGAAACTTGTAATATCTATTATTAATCTTTTAAACCAATTTTTTAATTAACTAGTAGTTTTTTTAACATGGCCGGAGATACTACCGCGTCTCCTAAAATGTATATATCTTCATTAAAAGTAAATGTAATTTATATAAATTAAAAGAGCGGGTTTTTTGAAGCTTAAAATCTCTACGTTTGAAAGGTTATTTTATATTTTGAGTTTCTATAAGTTTAGTAATTTTTTTACATATAGAAAAAAAACTACAAGCGGAAAGAATAAAAAATGTTTTTCTTATTTTGAGTCACGTATGCAAAAAAAAAATGCAAAAGTATTTGACTATCTATTTATCGTAAAGGCTTGAAGTTTTCTCTACAAAATCATTTTTTTGAATGTTCCTTTGTTACTAACGAATTAAAAGAAGCATTCTAACTTTGATTCCTACCGTTATAAATCATCGTAAATCAGAAAAGATTTATAAAACTGAAACTTTTCTCTGTCAAATGATACATTTGCTAAATTTTAAAAACATGTAGACTGGGTTCGAAAATATCGTACAATTTTGAGCTAAAAAAAATAGTCATCCATTTAAAAGTAATTTTCTGATCATCCGAATATTTATTATTTATACACTTTTAAATATTAGATATACACTTGTAATGAAAAAATGTTCATAATCTAAATTTCTATGAACACAAATACCTAATAATTTTTAAACAGGAAGAAGGAATAAGCACACTATCAAATTCAATCTTAAAATTATATATGAAGTAAAAAAAAATTCAATCTTCTATACAGGGTGAAACACTTGAATCAAACCACCTAAATAACTCCCTTGTTTTTGATTATACAAAAAAGTGTTTTAGATAAAAGTGGAATGATTTCGAGGGGGACATGTTTTGGTCACGTTGTTTTCTGTTTAGGTGGACGCTTCAAAAAGATATAAAGGTCACTTCCATTTTTTTAAATGGAATTACATAACTTTTTTTACATAATATGATTTCTTTAACATTCTTCACATAAAAATAAAAAAGTACAGATATAAAAAAACTAATAGTTTACTTTAAGAGATATTTTATACTTTTATATGCAGAATTGTTAAAAGATTCGGTAAATGTTTCGATTAGGGGACCCCCCTCCAATGACATTGACCTTGACATATGTTGTCAAGGTCATGACCCTGAGTAACCTCCAACAGGTTTTAGCCGTCGCTCGTCCTTCGTTAAAAATTTGATAAAAGTGCCAATTAAGGGACTCCCCACAATGACCTTAATCTTGACATATGTTGTCAAGGTCATGACCCTGAGTAACTTCCAACAAGTTTTAGCCGTCGCTCGTCCTTCGTTAAAAAGTTATTAACAATCATAGTTTTAAAATTAAGGTATAATATATAATACATAATACATGTATGATATTAAGTACTATTCTACACCTTTCCCTGTTCAGAAACGTTAAACTTTCCACGCGAAGTTACTTTAACCCCCCCCCCTTTCCCCTGCACAGGGGCACAGGACTTCTACGATTATACTATTGCTATGATAGTACTGTCGGGGCAGACCTCTGTGACGGTGTGGGTGCGGGGGGGTGGCCGAAGGCCACCTCCTTGCACCCGCCCGACACCCACACCGTCACAGAGGTCTGCCCCGACAGTACTATCATAGCAATAGTACAATCGTAGCAGTCCTGTGCCCCTGTGCAGGAGGGGGGGAGTGAAAGTAACTTAGCGTGGAAAGTTTAACGTTTTTGAACAAGGAAAGGTGAAGAATAGTACTTGATATCATACGTATATAGCAGAAATAAAACGTATATTTTAGAACTATGATTGTTAATAACTTTTTAATGAAGGACGAGCTAAAACCTGTTGGAGGTTATTCAGGGTCATGACCTTGACAAATATGTCAAGGTCAAGGTCATTGGAGGGGGGTCCCCTAATCGAAACATTTACTAAAGATTCATATATTAGGTGTACCAGATGTACAAGTATGAAATGCGGATTTTTCTCCAAAAAAAAAAAAAAACAATAATTTCGGAAGAATGATAAAAAGTGATTTATTCAAAGTATGCTCCATTGCTAGTTACACATTTTTTCAATCTTTCGGGTAATTTGTGGATACCACGCCAGTAAAAATCTTCCCCTTTTGCCACGAATCACTCATCGAGCCATTTTTTCACATCTTCGTACGAGATCAAAAGCGCTGCTCAGCAAGTGCGTGACCCATCGATGCAAACAAGTGGTAATCGGAAGGAGCCAAATCTGGTGAGTAAACCACTTCGGCTAGCTGATGCTTCCAACGTGTCGTGAACCGGTTTTGCCGTATGTGATGGAGCATTGTCATGGGGAAAAATGATCTTATGTTGTCTTTTTCGATATTCTGGTCGTTTTTCGAGTAGTGAACGGTTCAAATCGATCAATTGTTGTTGGTAGCATTTGATATTAACTGTTTCATCAGGCTTTAACAGCTCATAATAGACCACACCCTTTTGATCCCAG